CTATGGCATGAATGGCGAACCATGATCGCTGCTGCCTTCTTGGGGTCTGGCACTCCATAATGATGTTTGATTTGGGGGGTTTTTTGTTGGTTTTTTGTTTTGTTTTGTGGGGGGGGGGTCATGGGAAGGGGGGGGTTGATATGGTGTGTTTGTCGGAGGTGAATGTGAATGAAGAGGCTTCGAGTCTGAACGATCTGGCAACAAGAACACCAGTCTTTCCTCAAGTGCATCGATTTTACCTTGAAAGCGGACAACTCTTGACATTTTGTAATGGAAAAATCAAACGCCTTTTTCTCTGCGCCTCTTTTCTGTTTTTGCTTTATATTGTGTGTGGGGGGGGGGAGGGGCGTGGAGTTGTGGAGGGTGGCTTTGAGGGGGGTTTTGTTGTTGTTGTTTTTTTACGATCACGTTTCACACGTCATGAGTGTGGGTGGGTGTTTTTGTGTTTGTTTGTTTACACGTTTGTTGGGTGTTTGTTGAGTGGCGAAAATAGTTAGATAGTGGATGGTTATTGGGTGCTCTGGTGTGGTTTGCTCCTACTTTCGAATTCAATTATCTTTGTATGTTACTCAGTAGTGACGTCTCTAATCGTCGGCACTAATAGAACCTATTTGTATTGCAAGTGCTGTAAAACCCATACTAAATCTTTAGAAACTCTAGGACGGTACAGAAAATGGAGTAGTAAGTTGGGAGCCAGGAAAAAGATAGGTGTAGCCATGTGTTTTTAAAGTAGAAGACATTTAGCATAATGAATTATGTATAGAAACACTTAGAAAGGCGAATATGGGTTGGAGATGTGTGCGGAATGGAAGGGTATGGTTTAATGGAAAGGCCAAGATTTGGAGAAAACAAAAATTATTAAATATCTATATAAACATAAACTAGTAGCATCTCCACATAGTGTTATCATAATATTATTGTAGTGGAATTTATCAAAAGTCTAAAATATAAAGCATATTAATATTAGTTTTCTGAAAAAGAGAGAGAGAGAGAGTGCACATGTGTGAGTGTGTGTGTGTGTGTGTGTGTGTGTGTGTGT